ATTTCCACTTCTTGTATATAAAATTATCACAGAGTGCAGTGTTGTCGTTGCGTTGCGTTGCAGTGTTGCCGACAAAAAAATATAAACATGTTTGCAAAGAAATGGTGCTGTTTTATACAATTCGTTATTTAAATCTACAGAAAATTAACCTTAGCACAGACTTGCAACTGTACCACGTACAGAACTTTGTCGTGAACTGTTATTTATTAGATATTACGTATGTAATTCAAGCTGGCTTCAGTCAGTCCGTAGAGTAGTGGTTTCCCGCAATATGTTTAGATGAAACACGCTTCAGAAATTTGACATCTCCATTTTCCTTCAAGTTTAAGGAATATATTCATATTTTTGTTTTTTTTTACTACATGTGACCTCTGCTGCTAAATAAATTATTCTGAATTAATGAACTATAAGAACTTTCTAGTGTAGAATCGGTTGGATGTTTCGATATTGTTTTAATAAATTTCATGGTTATGGGTTTATAAAACAAGCTTATATTTTAATAGCTGGGGTAACTACTCCTAACTAGCTAGGATCTCCAGGAATAAATTTTTTCTACTCTCCAGTGATACAATATGATGGTGACAAATGAACAAATGAATAAATGAACAAATGAATACGTGCAAAAATGGATAAATGAATAAATGAACAAATGAACAAATGAATAAATGAACAAATGGATAGGTGATAAATGAATAAATGGATAAATAAATAAGTGAATATATGAACAAATGGATAGATGAATAGATGAATAAATGAACAAATGAATAAGTGAATAAATAAATAAATGAATAAATGAATGAATGAATAAATGAATAAGTGAATAAATGAATAAGTGAATAAGTGTATTCACTTATTCCTATTATTAATGAATAAATGAATGTTATAATTATGTATTTGCACAAATACGGGATAATATTTTTAGCATTCCCACTGACATTTCTTTAGAAACTAAAAGACGTATTTTAAATCACTACTAGCTGTAAGCCGAGCAAGGGTTTTGCATAAAAATATTGTCTGGTGTACAATCAAACCATGAAAGGACGACACGACGATCTCTTCATAAAGGAGTTAAAAATAAATCTGTCCCAGACGATATTCCGTCTATTCATGCGAGATTCGCATAAATACCACCAGGTACTGCATCAAGGTAAATACGTACGAAAGCTCGGCTCGCCGAGACATTTAATTAAGGTATCCTAGCGCAGTTATCTCATACTTTATGTACATATGCATATACGTTTCCGTGACGCGTCGCTATTACTGAACCCGTTTCACCGCCTGAACTTATAAATAGGTCAGACTTGTTATTATGAGGACAGTTTACTGTATTCGATAAGGGTTTAAAAAACCCCTTTTCCCTTTGCGATTACGGCTGCTGTTTGACGGCAATTGGCGTGCTATTGTAGTATTAAGTTCCACAGGGGAGTAAAACGGAGCCACTTGGCCATTAGGAAATCTTAAGGAGACGAGGAAAATGCCATTTGCTTAGTTAAAAATTGAAAATCGATCGGAAATTACGTCTGACTGTTTCTTTTTAAGTAAATGGTAAGTTCTATGTATGAATACTAATTCTGAGTGATTAATAAAAATTATGTTCGAGAACTCAACTCAATAGAATCGCAATATAAAAAATTACACAGGCACATAAATGCTAGCTATTTGGACCTTCAGAAACCAAATCTGCTATGCGAAATGCTCCATCATCCCCCATTTCTATTTTAAATTATCGAAAAACACTCCTAAAACTTAAAAAGCTCAAGCTCTACATTAGTAGCTTTCTCGTTGGGCACAATCCTGAAAACTGATGGATGCATCATATTCATTACATATTTAGTTCAAAGACTCAATCAATTTTTGCAACCCTTCAACTTCTGGTGATACCTAAAAATCAAGTAAGCTTCTACATTCGGCGTATTTAATTCACAAAGTCAAACCACAAATTTATAATCCGGGGATTCTACTCCTTTACACTTAATAAGTTTCTCTTTTGGATGAGACTCTTCAAAGTCGTGTATCAGCAATTACGATATATCTGAAATCTCTTAAATCAGTTGCGAGTGAATCGAGAAAGTAGTTGACTCTCGTTATAAAACTAATCTGCAGTAGTTCTTTTGCAATAATTATACCGTCTAAAAAATGGGAAAAAAGAAATCTTCTCTATAGATCGTTCGAAGGTAAAATAAAGTGATATAAAAAGAAAAAGACTAATTTTGTCTTCGTATGTTCAGGATATGCCTACTCTATTGGTGAGTAGAGTGTACTGTTGCGGTATTTGCGGCATTTCCCATTGTAAATTCGGTTTCCATGGGTTTCATGGATCTAAATGGTACCGGTATGAAAAGAGCAGTCAAAGATAGCGCCAATACTCACGAATTTACCCGATTAGCCATAGACATACGTATCAAGATGTGGGAGAAATAGGAGCCACGGAGCATATGTACAGCGACAACGATCTCGTTTTATGGATATTACTAAAAGTATATAGTTGTTTTTAGAACAATTCAAATTTCGAATTTTTTATAATGAATTTTAGGAATTTAAGTGGAAAATTGTTGGAAATTTGTAACAAAATTCCGTATCTCCCAAACACTCCGTGTACTGTTTCTCTTGGCGAGCTAATAGCTTTAATATTAAAGAATATCCACTTAAATTTTAAGCGACTTGCAATGGATTGTAGAGGGCAAAAAATTGGAAATTTCTAAGAAAGTTCCGTATATCCCCACTCTATATCCACTCAAAAGTTGAAGGACTTGGAATGGGGAAAAAATTGAAGGAAGCTACTGGATATTTCCAGTAGTTTCCAGGGTGAAACTGAAAGAAAGCTACTGGATATTTCTAATAGTTTTTCTTCAATTTGACCCCTTGAAACAAAGTTATGAGCTTACCAAGCCAAAAAGTGCTCCAGGTTTTTGTTTTGGAGATGCGCATTTATTTTTTTAATTTCCAGCAGTTTCCCTTAATTTCACCCCTTGGAACCCATTGCAAGTCGCTGAGTGAATAAAAATTTAATAATTTTGAAATATTAACAACTCTCTTGGAACTAGGTACTAACAATATCTAATGACACTTTTCAATATTTAAAAAGATGGTTTACTCGAGGTCGACTATAAATTTCGGAAAATGTTGAACAATATTTAGAAATTCAAGAAAACAGTTACATTTTTAATAATTCTAGGACGAGCGGAAATTTTTATAAAGAATTGTTTTTTCTCATAAATTTACAATATGCCTTTTCAGGACACAATCGTAGGGCGCATTGTATACAGGGTGTACGAAGTTGCTGCCATTATTTCAGCATGAGATAAAGTAATCATAAATGAACAAAAAAGTTGTATATTACCGGCGCGTAAGATTAACAGTTTTCAAAATAGAGCGAGTATTAATATTGGGGAGTTTTATCAAAACGTGAGAACAGTGCTTAACCTAATGCTACACAGCTGATGCATACCAGGTGTGCACGCAGCAGACTTGTCCTGTGGAAGAAATGTAAACAACTATTATTGTGAAATATTTAGTAAATTTCAAGACAACTGTTTTGCAGTTTTTAAACAAATAAAATAAAATGTATCGATTTTGTAGTACGAAGATTGTGTTGTAGTTAAATTTTAGCTCGAATTTTAGTAGTTATGAATCTCTTAAAACAGGAAATTAACTTTTAATCAATTTATGAATTTGAAAAATATGTAATGAAAGTATTCACGTTGTCCAAATAATCATACGTATTAAAAGTAATTTAGGTACTTACCAAAAAGCAAAATTCAGTAATTTTTAAACGTACAAGTACAAAACAAACTACAACATATGCTTAAAGGGTCCACAACCATTTTCGATGCCCGCACGACACCTTCGAATCCAATTTTCGCGCACTCGCTGGAAAACACCTCAAGAAAAGGAATAAGTGGTACGCACAAAACACTCAGACACGGTCCAATTCCAGATGCCAATTGCGTATTGCTGGTCAGCTTATGAATATTATCGAATTTTAAATTTATTACAACACTAATTATGTATTTTTTAGAATTAAACATAAAGAAGTGACAAAAAAGTGATAAACATTGTATTTTGTGGTATTCTATGCACGTAGTTATGTCAATATTCTTTAATTAACCGAACTTTTGTACATCAAGTTGGAGATTTTGATAATTTTTTTCTCGAAAATGGTTGAGTTTAGGACCCATGTGATATAGTTTTTTTGTTTATTTTAATGTATTCTATCGTGCGTTAAAATTAAGGCATTCAAACTTCTACACCCTGTATAAAATACTGTATGTTTCAGGATTATTTAAAAAAAAATCGTAAAATTTCAATTCGAGTGGTGAAAATAAGAAAATAGTCCTATGAAAAAATATCCGGAAATGCTTCCTTTTCGATATAGTGTGGATATTTGAAAAAAAAAAAATAAATAAATTCACATTTTCTTAATTACCTCTCATGGCGTTTAATGCAGAAGAATGAAACTTGGACTAATGATTTATCTAGGTAATTGAGAGTAGAAATTCATTAAATTAGGATATAAGTAAATGTGGTTATTCTCGTTAAAATCCTCAGATATTCCACATCACTGGATACCTCTAAAATTAGATCATTGCTTGTTACTACAAGTGATATTTCCAAGAAAAAATATATTTTTCAAACCGCTCTGTATATTATTTTTGACAGAAATAAATGAAACATTAAAAGTGCTTTTTTAGTCTCATTTTTATAATACTGCGTACTAGAATATTGAAATATAAATTAGGCACAAAACTAGATATTTCATATCAATTTTTGAAAAAAGTCCAACATGTCTTGTTTCGATCCCTGAAGGCAGATATGCCTCGGTGCACCCCCGCCTGCTTCTTTAAATTAATAGCCGAGCCGTCAGGGCTATAAACAAGCAATTTGTAAATGCGACTCGACGGCCGTTCAGATTTCACTCGTCTAACGCGGCTGGCGAAATAGATGACATCCCGACGCCGTCATAGAGAGTTTAGCTTTAGTGTAGGGTGTTTCTTGCTTACCTCGTCCTTGCCCTTCACCACGCACATGTTGGCGTCGTTCTCATTGGAATACCACGTCAGTCTTTGCTGCTCCTCCAGCTCGATGAGAGTCAGATTGTACACCAGGTTCCTGCAACAAAGAGAAAAATTAATGTGATACACGCCCCGCCAAACAAGACGCGATTGTGTTTCAAAAGCCAGACATACTGTTTAAAGGGCGGAATCCTCCACTACTCGAAAATAATGTAATAAACGCCACGTTACGTAGCTGTTCTGACAGCTTTGCTTCATCTGTCTAATGTAAGTTAAAGTCTTTCCAAAGTCAGTTGAACATGTATAAAAACACCTAGCAAAAAAATGTAAAGAGATTCATAGGCGTCCATAAAAAAGTTTTCTGCCAAAGGTAAAAAATTATATAATTTGTATGTAATGTGTAGAAAATTTCTATTATATGTTCATTTCGCCAACAACATATTTTAATTATTTATGTCCTCAAACAATTTTATTATATTCGTTTAGTTCCGTTTCAAAAGGTCTCCAAAATGCTATGTGGTCATAATATCCCTCTTATTTCTCTCTTTCGCAATTGTAATACGAATGATTAATAGAAGGTACCTATAATGAATTAATATTACTGCATCACACCAAATTCCGCATTGCTGCACTGCACTGCTACGCAATTTGTCACTTGTCAACAACTGAGATTTATTGCCCAGTCGACCAGTACAGCTGTGTTATACGCCGTTTGCCCCCTTCATATGGGTATGGCTAAATAAATATGGGAACAAGTTTTTCAAATATTTCAATGCCGAGTTGCTGCGTCAGCGACCGAACTTCATACATACTGCCAACCTCTTGGTTCTTCAATTGAGATCGGATCTAAGGCTTTTTATGGCAATTCTGAGGTTTATGTATTTTTGGAAAGAAAATCCCTGTAGACAATAACATATATTTTTTTAAATTGACTTTTTCCAGTTTATATTCAGTGTGTTCTATTTAGCTATTTTCTATTTATTAACCCATTTTTCCTTCTTTACACTTCTAGTGAAAACGTATCGGAAACATACTTCAATCATTTTATAATTTAAAACCACAGTCAACTACGATCATTTTTATAGTTAAAAAATTATTGATGTTTTCTTAAGGAAAAAGTTTCTATGGATTCTTCCTCAGAGTAGCCTGGAATATAAATGTACCCATTTTCGTAGTATCGACATAATGTACAGGATGATTCCGTAACTCTGGTAATACAGGGTGTTCTATAAGCTCTAAGACAAACTTTGGCAGATGGTAGCAACTATAATTTTTATTTATCAAGCTACTTTGATTGAAATATGAAATATTTTTTTAAAATGCTCGTATCTTCTAAACAAAAACTAATCAGATCTATGTTCAACATTGTTCATATAAGAAAAAATGTTTGAAATTAACTCAGCTACTATCTGTCAAAGTTTGTCATAGAGCTTGTAGAATACCCTATACAGGGCTTTCATTAATGTCCCAGACCCACGTGACCAAATTGGTTGTCACTACCAATAAATTTGATTTTCTTAAGTTGGCTACTACGAAAAATTTCAAGTTTAGGGACCCTAAATCAGCTGGCAGTCCAGAGGCGTTCACGGTACCGCGGACGATAGTTTACGTCATTACGTTCTTATGCCCGTACGTTTTCCCTTGTCTTTGTGATTTACCAACATTTTTCGTTTATTTACTTTACTAACAGTTCTTTTCAGAGCTACAGAATTTGTTTATGTTTTTTACGTAAGTAAATAATGTATTTTAAGGTTATGTTTGCTTATATTTGTTTCATATTTTTAGACTTGTGTTTAAAAATGCCTTTTGTACCTGAGCAAGATGCCTATATTTTAAAGGCACATTTTCGGAGTACCACGCGAAATCCAGATGGAATTTGGACATATTCATTACAATCCTGTATTGACCAAATCACTGAAGCTTTCCCTGATGTAGACGTTGATTATGGCGTTTTTAGGAAGCACAAATTAATACTTGTCAAGAGATATGACAAAAAACATTGTATTTTTAAGGAGAAATCAACAGGCAGGCCAACAGTTTTAACTGAAAATGCAGTTGACGATATTCGACAACGTATGGAGCAGAGCCCTAAAAAATCTATCTCCCAGTTGTCTACCCAAACAGGTATGCAGGTAGTATTTATGTTACACACATTAAATACTTGAAACTACATTTATAATTAACTTAAAAGCCTTAAAATTAATAAATAATATAATTCTGTGTGTATTAAACTGAAATTTTCATATGACGTTGTGAGAATGCGAGTATGCAGTGTTAACTGCAGAGCAGAAGCATGTAAACAAAATGAAGCAGCACAAATTTGAGACTGTTATATGGTGTAAACAAATAAAAATTTTATATCGTTTAAAGCTAACGTACATTTCTGAATATTTGTTTTGTCGATAGAGTTCTCGGTGGGAATGTATCACAAGGCTTTAAAGAAGGAATTGCACATGCAACCATACAAAGTCTCTATTATTCAGCAGTTGCATCCACCTGACTATGACCAACGAATACGGTATTGTGAATGGTTCAGTGAAAATCTGAACAACAATGATTTATTGAATTTGACATTTTTTTCTGACGAGGCATGGGTCCATCAATCAGGTTACTTTAACAGCCAAAATTACAGAACGTGGGCTACAGAAAACTCACGAGTTTATTGAAACTTCGCTACATCCTCAAAAAATTTGTATATGGGTGGTCGTTTCAAGGAGACGGATAGTAGGACCAGTTTTCTTTCGAGAAGTGATAAATAGTGAAAGGTATAGGGGGATTTTACGACAAGCTTTAGAGCAAATGCATGATGACGAATTACAGAAGAAACGGTTAGATGTTTGGAAGAATTTTATGGGGATCAAATTATTAGTAGGGGATTGTGGCCTAGTCGAACCCCCGATTTTACACCTTTAGATTATTATCTCTTTGGACGTATAAAAAATAATATTTTCAAGCAGCGAGTTCACACAATTGAACACCTAGAAGTAACGATTCGCCATGAAATCGAATCCATTACACCAAATGAATTGGAACGTGTTTTGGAATGCATGAAACGGAGGGTATATTTGTCTAGAAAATGAAGGTGGACATTTTGAACACCTTTTATAATAAAAACTAAACAAAATACCACTCACCAAAACACTTTTTGATTGTGCGTTGAGAATGTTAACTTTGTTAACAAAACGCAGCATCGGAAAAAGTAGAAGTGTTTTGGTGAATGGTAAAATTATTTTCTGTTTTGTATCGACATCAAATCTTCCAAACTTATCCTAAGATAAACAAAACTATTGTGATTTTTTTATATTCTCTGCCTGTTAAAACTTCTAGTTTAAATTTGAACAACTGTAAACATAACTAATTTTTTACCTGTTACATAAAAATTTTATGGCAAGATGTATGCAATATCTAATAAATAAAATTTTTAATAAACATTAAATGGTCAACAATTAATTGTAAATTGTTTTTTTGAATTTGACTTATCCAGGTGTAAGCCGGATTTCTTCATTTCAATTCTGAGTTAACGTAAATTTCTAAATTAATACATCAAAATAAACAGCTAAAATGAAATCTTTCTTAAATTACCTTTTCCTTTGATTAAAATAAAATATCTACACCACTGGTGCCATAAACTGATTCAGTGTTTTAATTTTTATGGAATACCAATTTATATTGGGAAATGTAATGTTGGTTGCCTATCGTCGCGGCCACGTGGGTCTCCGACATTAATGAAAGCCCGTATAAGTAATACAAACAAGTGTTTCAACTAAAAGTGTTATTAAACATTTTATTTTAGTATGTGATTCTTATGTCGTATGATTTGATTCAATGGGTGATCATAATTTTATAAAAATTATGTTTCGCTTAACAAAAGTTTTATACGCAGTTCGAGTTACTATTTTTCTAATAATTACAACCTTTACGATAAATAACATGTAAACACTTTTTGCACAGTCCAGTTTAGTGCTGAAAATTGGTATATGGTATTAATTGTTATGTTATATTTAACATAGGGTTTAATAAAAAGAACTAACGTCGACTTCAGAACAATATAATCCCTACGACGCCCCTGGTACATGAATGAACTATTTTAATGTACCGGTAATTGCGAGGGACATTTTAGGTTCACCACGTATATTGCGAGTGAATGAGTGCAGTTGTTATTTCCGTGTAGACATGTAAATGTCCCGAAATTTACTGTCGGCAAATTTAAAATTCTAAACTAGAAACCGTTCCGATAAGAGTGTTTTGGACCCGAAGCAATTGGGCAAAACGTCCAAGAAATATCTCAATGATCGCTCCGTGTGCGGTATTCGCGTCACGAAGCAAACTGCGACAATTGCTGGAATTGTGTTTTGTGAGAATTGATGAAATTCATTTATTTATCTACGGGTTTAAAGGATAAAAGGTGATGAATGTAGGAAGAAAATAGGGGACTGCGCACGCCCCCCGGAACTGATCCGAATGCACCACGTAGTGCAGCCAATATAATTTGTCAGAGTGCACTGGATTATCGACTTATTTATAGTGATTGTTGCAGGGTATATTCCCTTGTTTATTATCGGCTGTCGCTACTGCACATGATTGAGTTAATAAATAAGAAAAATCTTATATTTCTAAACAGATATTTCTTTTAAGTAAATAGGTTTACATTCGATAGCTTTTGTTCAATTAAGTGACCAAATTAGTTATAATTGTAGGTGAAATGTAAAGACGTTACTAAAATACCTTAACCACAAGGAAAATGCCTTGTAAAAAATTTGCATATTATTATCCTCCATTTGTGCAAAGAACTGTCATAATTGTAATCGATAATGAACAAAATGTATAATTTCGTGTAATTCCACAAAAAATTAGTCTCATTGAAGTAAAATTTAATACTACTGTTCTATGGAATTGTAGAATTTACATACCTACATCTATCTCTGCGTTGGCAACATATACAGTGTGTCCAAGATAAGGATGGCATAATATTTGCATCTAGGAAACCGTAAGAGATGCGGGGTGGCTCAAATTAGAAAACAGTTGTGTTTTTATACCTAACAATATGCCGTTTAGAAAGTTTTAAAATTCCGGGTAGTTCCGGAGATATCCGA